CCACGGATTTTTGTCATCCAAGTACGCAGAAGTTGTATAATAACCTTCACTACAAAGTTTTTGTTTCACTATATTTTTAAAACCTCGTGAATGGCAAATTTTGTATATCAACCGGAATCTTGATAAAGAAGCGTATACATTACCCTTTAAATTAATTTGTGACTTTGTGAAGACGACTATCAAGAACAGTTAGTTTATTTTTATTCCTCGTATTAATGTTATGTCTGTCACTATTTTTCATAAAGAACTTACTGTTCCTTTTAACATAAATTACATTTTCATTGATAGTGAACTGAATCCAGAATTTAAATTATCGAACTGTTCAATCGATGTATTGTAGAAACATTATTTTTAAATCGACAACAACAATCTTTTAGGCATTTTAAATTTGTAATAGAGAGGAAATACAAGACTTGAACTGCGTCTCTTTGCTTAGACGGTCTTCGGAAGGTTTATGTAATGATATTAAGGTTTCTGCATATCTATATTAACGATGTGGTTTACCTATCAAACAAAAAAACAATCAACTAAATCTAATTATCAGACTTTTTTAACTCCCATCCATTTGAGACCATCAATCAAAGGCATCAAAGCGATCAATCTCCTTTCGATTTGTGCCTGGCTTAATTTTGCCTTACCAGGCTTCGTATGTTACATCTTGTTCGTGCCAATTCTTGAAATATCCGTAACATAGGGATGGAACCACTGTGGATAGAACCATAGTCTACGTCTAGTTGCTGGATGGTGGATAGGGGAAGGTTGAATCAAATCACGCATGTCCATCGCACAATCTGCGTGATGTATCTTGTAGAATACCGATAAATCGGAGCTTTACTTCAAGGCTATTTACCTTCTCGTTACAGTTGTAATATATATGTGTAACTAAGGTTATACGATATAACTTCTTATTCTTTGCACTTTCGAAGCGTGATAGTCAGAAATAATACAAGTTGTACTGTGTATCTTTTAGTCGATCAACGATCGTATAAATGACATCAAATATTATAATTTCAATATATACAAAGGCAGAACCTAAATAAAATATAATACAATATTTTATCATTGCTCCACTTTTTGATACGCCTGCCTAAAACATTGCAGCAAATTTTATTTTGTTATATTGTATATCGTTGCTCCCAAACATTCAGCAGGCGGCGTATGGTAACAACCAATTTAGGATTGTAAAATGACCGTTTCAATATTTTCTCTAAACCTGTTTTTCCCGAATATCGTGCAAGTGAAATTAGTCACAGTACGGTTTGAAGTTGCTTCAAAATGTTCACTGATAGACATTTTATTTGAAAGTGATCATAAAAATATTATTTATGTAATAATTTCTTTGAGTAGGAGAGTTCAGATTGGAATGACTTAGTGTTGAGTTCAGATAAGTTTCTCGAATTGTGTTTGTTTACAAAATGTTATATCGAAGTAATAATTACCAGTGACAGTTCTCTAGTCATTTATGGCATTGTTATAAAACCTATATTTGTATTTAGTTTTACTACAAGTTCTATCATTGGTCACTCAAATACAAAGTAACGCAAAAAGTAAAAAAAAATAATCGCACAGATAGATCGGCAACTAAACAAATATAGACGCGAGAGAGGAGTGTCATT